GAAGGAGTCCGGAAAGCTAAGGAATTGAACATCAAGAAACTCATAATTGAAGGGGATTCAGAGGTGGTGATAGGGTGGCTGACTAAAGATCAAAATGGTTTATGGAAGTACAATAATGAGAGGAGGAAATTCAAGTGGCTGGTGCGGGAGATGGAAGTTAAGACATGTTGGATTAAAAGATCGGCTAATTCCCTTGCTGACGGTTTAGCTAAACAAGGGGCAGAAAGGGATTCACTGTTTTGGGCTAAGCTGTAACGTTAGTGTCTTTTTTTCTTTTTTCCTTTCTTGAAGCTCTTTGTGGCTCTTGGAAGATAAGTGTGTTTGTCTTCCACTTGTAAATTTTCTATTGATGATTTAATGAAAGTGTTATTGATAAAAGAAAAGTGGTATTGTGGTTTAACAAATGTCTATTAGTCTTAATAAAGAAGGGTTGGGAGTGGAATTTTGGGAGGAATTGGAGGGGTTGAAGCAGTTGGGGGTGGGGGAGAGTGAGCTTGGGAATGAGGAAGTTTGGGGATTTCATGAGAAGGAATCACTTTGTTGACCCATCCCTAATTGGTGGTAGGTTTACTTGGACAAATGGTCAATGCCCAGCTATCCTTAGAAGACTTGACATATTTTTATTCTGTGTTGATTGGGAGGAGTATGTTGGGGAAATGGTGCAAGAGGAAAACCTCTTGCAAGGTAGCTGGCTTTATTTGGACATTTTTTTTCTTTCCTGTTCAGTGTCAGAGATTTTCAGCCAAGATCTCCTGAAGAAATCTTCTCCTCTTGGATAAAGATTGGAGGTAGTAAGAGGGCTAGAGTGCTTTTGAGTTGCACCCCTTTTTCTGTCTGTTGGAACATATGGAAGGAAAGGATAGGAGATTATTTGAGAACAAATCCTGGAGCATAGAAAGGCTGGTGGCGGACATTAGCAAACCAGCGGCAGATTGAGTGTTGGTCCTTCCAGATTTTGTGCAAGTTAATAGAGGAGATTTGGGGGAGAATTTTTGGGAAATGCTTGATTTGCAGAATTGTAATGCTATTAGTTTTTTTTTTTTTTGGGTAGTTCTTGTATGAAGTTCTTATCTTAACACCTTATTAGCTTGCAATCCTTTTCTTTTTCTTTCACTATAAAAAATCTAGTAAATTACCTGTTGATAATTGATGGAATCCAGTGATCACATTTTCCTCCATTGCCAGCTTGCTTGGGAAATTTGGAGTAGGATCCTATGAGAGCTCAAAATCTCTTGGTTCTTGTTCCCAATACTCAAGGAAGCTCTAACTTGTTGGTAGGGTTGGAGAAATCTGAGAAAGGCTGGAAGGTGTGGCAATCCATTCTGGAAGTTATTTGTTGGATCATTTGGAATGAGAGAAATCAAAGGATATTCAATAAAAAAATCTTCACAGCACATTGAGATTTGTATGAAGGTGATGGACACTGTACTCGTGGTTAGAGGTGCACAAGAAATCAAAGGGACTGCTTTTGGGGATATACTGAATGCCCATTCCATATAATTTGACTTGGAAGACTTTTGTTTTCTGTTTTACCTTTTTTGTAGCTTGGATTGTATAGTCCCTCACTGTAAAGTCAGTATATTTGGGGGTGTTTTACCTCCCTTTTTTCTAATGAAAATTAGTACATTTTCTTTTTCAAAAAAAAAAACAGAAAAGAAAGAGAAAAGATTTGTATAGAATATTGAATGAGCAGAAAAGGTCCATAGAAGACATTGTGGAGAGAATCCAAATCAGAGTTCTTCATTGGGTAAAAACGGTGGAATCATTTGCCTATTCTCCACTGCTGACCTTAGAGATTGGTGGTACATTGCTATTCATCGTCTTCCCAAACTGAGACTATGATGCAGTGGAGCCCACCTCCAAATCATATAAAACTGAATTTTAATGCATGCAGCAGGGGCAATTAAGGTGCTTTAGAAGCAGGTGGCGTGCTAAGAAACTTCCAATGGGTTATCGTAGGGAGATACTCTTGTCCACTAGGTGTATGAGACTCAACAAGAGCAGAGATCTAAGCTGTTCTCTGGGGACTCAGGTTGAGCAAGGCACTTCAAATCAGAAATTTAATAGCGGAAGGATATTCTAAACTGGTTGTGGGATGGTTAAAAAGATCAACAATTGCACTTGTCATTATAGAAACATGATGAGGGAAAAATAAGGCAGCTAGATATAGATGTGCTGATCACTTATACATGGATTAGAAGATCAACTAATGGGCGAGCTGATTCATTGTCAACCAAGGGATGAAGGAAGCAGTTGTTTTTGGGACTACAAGAAAAATGATTTATAGTGAGAAAAGAAAAGGCGGGTAAAAGAAAAAGAAAGGGATTAGAAGGAAGGAGAAAACACCTGGAATATTTATAATGAAAGGAATTTTATTCTAAATACCTATAGCAAGGTGGGTGGAAGATTTCTCCAGAAATATTTTTCTGAAACATGCCTTCTCTCGTGTTAAAATTTTGTTATTATCTTATGTTTCTCTCTTTCACTCTTGATAAAATCTGTCTGCAAAAGAAGGTAAGAAGCCATCTACGGTTGAGTTATTTAACCAACTGATTATGGTCCCCCTACTAAAGATGCTTCAAAAATTTAGGATCAAACCATTTATAGCCTTCTCCTTTGACTTGACTGACCATGGTAGGGCTATTGGAGGGGGGATTCTCTGAGGGCTGAAATACTGGCAGTCTTGGAAGGGATTAAAAGAGCGGCAGCTGAATATTAGAAAACTGGTGGTGGAAGGTGATTTGAGCCTGGTTATTAGGTGGTTGCAGAAGGAAGACTTCAGTTTGTGGAAATACCTAAATGAGAAAAGAGAATTAAACATTTGATTCAAAACATGGAAGTTCACTTTCAGTGGACTAAAAGGTGTGCTAATTCCTTGGCAGATTCTTTGGCTAAGCAAGGGGTGGGAAGAGCTATTCGTTTCTGGGAAACTTTGTAATCTGAAGTAAACTTTTGGGAGGGTTAAGAGATTTTACTCCTCCGTCCTATTGTATCATCCTTTTTAATCTCTTTATTAATAAAAGTTTTTGTTATTTATCAAAAAAAAATGGTAGGGCTATGATCAGTTTGTATTTGGATTAGATCTAGCTGCATTTGAATCGCTTCAAATTATTAAAAAGTTAAATCCAAATCCAAACTGAAATCTGATCAGATCTAGGGGTCTTGGATTGGATTTGGGATTTAATCCAAGTCTGTTTCATTATCTTTAAAATAAGAAAAAGAAAAATAAAAATAAAAAAGTATTCACTTTTTAACAAGATAAATTTATATTAATATAAAATACTAAATTTATTGATTACAAACTTTATATAATTATATATTATCCATATATAAATAGATCATCCAAATCCGAAATAATTGAATTGGATCTTGGACCAGGTGTCAGATTTTTGGACTTTGTCGACAGCACTAGATTATAGATCTGTCCAAATGGAAGGTGCAAAAGAATAATTCCCCCTGTGATAAAATTATTTACTCTTGTTGATTATGGTCTACTACAGAAAGAAATGAAAAGGAAACTTGCAATCCAAGACGTAAGTGTATTATCATATCTGTAAAAGAGGTTTGGTGTTGTAAAGCTTCTTGGTTGTATTTCTCATCTTGTAAAATTTGGATATGAAAAGAAATGCAACCAGAATTCCAATCAAAAGAATTTCTAGTGTATATGTTATGCATGTTGGTTTATTCTATTTATTTATATTTCTAATTTAAAATCAAGAAGTTTTTCTTCCCTATGTGGAGATGTAATTAAGGGAATCATCTATATGACACCCAGTATGGCCCTTCTCTAGAAAAAATAAGAACTTCAATCATTTGATTGAGTGAATTGTGTTGTGGGAAAACGTTTTCAACATTTCTCACCAAAATACACTAAAAAATAATATAGTATTTAATTTGATATAGTTTCAATGGTCTAATTAGACAAAAATACCGAGGAGAGTCAATAATATCATTGTTGATTTGGGTGGGAAAAATTGTTCTACAGAAAAGGATTTAACTAATTGCCTAATGCTATTTTTGTGAAACGTAGTGAGATATATTATTTCATCATAACAATTTTTATGTCCAATTTTGTATTGTGAGGTTCTTGTACAATTTTCTTAGCATGCTGGAATTTAGAGAACTTTGATTTGTGTCATTTCTTACAGTTTCTCAAAGTAGTGTATAATTTAGGGCTGTGTGTGATTTGAATTCCTTGTGTGCTTGTAGAGTAGTGGATTTAATATCCTTTTGCCTATAAAAATATGCAATTTTTATTAGAAACTCTTTTTAACTAGTTTGCTTATCTGATTGATCCATACATTAGCCTAAGATCCATCTGGATAATCTCTAGAGAACTTCCATTGAAGATCAATTATACATTAAAAAAACYTTTTTGTTTTCATAGTTGACATACAAGGAGCTTGATATCTGATTGATACAGGTTTATTTTTCATATGGCTTCAATTGGAAATCAATTTATAGAGTATCAAATGGAAATCAGTTGGAATTCTACTTGTGATATTTATTTGTAGCAAACCTTTTATTATTGCCAACTCAATTCCTAAACTAGTATTATAGATGTTTGAACTTCATCCATTGTTTAACAGGCTGAGATTGCACGGCAAGAAGCAAGACTAAAAATGGAAAAAGAAAACCTTGAGAAAGAAAAAAGTGTTCTGATGGGAACTGCATCAAATCAAGATAACCAGGATGGAGCCCTTGAAATCACTGTTAGTGGCGAGAAATACCGATGTCTGAGGTTTTCCAAGGCTAAAAAATGAGGTTTAAATGTTGAAAATAAGGGAGGAAATATGGAGACAACTTCCAGGTCTCTTGATGCTATCAATTCTTTACCGACCATGAGGCCCTTGATGCAATTTACGCAAGAACTTGTTTCATAAGGTGCAATGATGGTTTAATTGCATATATTATCTAAATTCAATGGGAATAACCGGTGGGCTGACGGGGTGCTTCAAGTTGTATGTGTGGTCTGTTTTTCAGTTGAAAAGGGTTTGGTAACGCAATAATGGTGTAATTCAAGTAGACAAGCTGTATCTTAGTGTTTGCTTTTTTTTCTTCCTTTGTATCTTGACGATATCCAGTCAGTACTGTTACTCATGTAAATGGTGAACTTGCTCACTTAACACTTGTTGATACAATGGGCCAAAAGTTGCTCCGATGTTGTGCAGATTACATTTGTACGATTATCGTGATTTACTTGCCTCCTTTGCTATTGGTGTGTTTTAATTGGTGTAAGCATATCAACTCATAAAAAGCAGTGATGGTCGAGTCTTCGGAGGTTCAAGGACAGCGGCAGTGACTCGGTGACAGTGTTTTAAGACTCCGACTGGAGTACAAACGGAATATTTTCTGGGTCCCGGTTTTACTAGTTATCCAGGCAGTTTGCCCATCCAACCCATCAAAATCGTCATTCAATCGGGACCCAGAAAGGCCACTGGTTCCCAGTTTCCATGGTCCGACCATCTGGATCGGGTTAAGCAAATCGACCGGACCCCTGAAGGGTTGTACTATGTACCCTCTAACGAGGTATCAGGCCTTCGTAGTTTCCCGACGATGGAATTCTGGAGTGACAGTCGATGGTCAAGAAGGGAGAAAGGTGGTGGAGCTCCCAGAGGGGGAGAGAAAAATCGAGGGAGAATCTAGATCTCCTCCCCATAAATTGGGTCTTAGATCTGATGAAGTGTCTTGGGTCTCCATGTGGATAATGGACCCTTATTTATAATATTCTCTTCATTAATTATAATTCTAGAAAAATTTCCTTCTTTTTGCATTAATGATACTTCTGGAATTTTAGGAATCAACAATATAATTTGATCTGATATTTTGGATTCAAGGTTCAAAATATCGTAAGTATTGGTTCGTATTGGTCAATATGTATTGTATAGTGGCCTTCCCGATATGTCCCTACAGGAGGTGTTTCGGGTCAGACCATAGTTCAGAGGGTAGCTGGGCCTTAAACTGATCCTTCTGAACTAAATTAAAAAAAAAAAACACAAAAAAAAGCACCGATATAGGTCGGCCTGTATCGACACTTCGAACTTGTTTGGATTAGACTGGATCTGCTTTGTTTGCCGTTGAGTCAGCTTCGTCAATTCCCTTTTATAAATTTATTGACATTAGCCCCCCTGTTCAACTTGGTCACTTGTGGCTGACGTTGAACATGAATTAGAGTTCTAACTTAAGTGATTTGATGCATATTCATCTAAACTGTCATTCAAGAAGTGACACCAAATTTAGAAAAACTCGGGTTGTGAATCTTGAAATTCATGGTTTATTATGTGCGAGCGCAAATGGCAGTCTGTGAATCTCTTGTGAAGTCAAGACTGGACTTGATTTTGCGATTTCAATTCATGAATCCAACTTGCAATTTCAATAGTAGGAGGCTAGTTTGCCTTGCAAATCTGTCTTGTATAGTTGTATGGCTAATTTGTTCTACAATTCTGTGAACTTTATTGTTTTTTAAGTTTATTTGCAAGTTTGTGATTGTGCAGATTTGTTTGTGATTCCACGATTTTTGCAAATTTGTTTTGCGGTTTGCAAATTTGTGCTGTGAATTTGGTTTGCAATTCTATGAATATGAGCTTTGAATCTGGTTTGCAAACCTGCCTATTCACACATTTAACAACAATGTCTAGCACTTGTCTTCGCTACCTAAAAGTTCAGGCACTATATACTAGATCAGAAGGTGGTTTGATAGCAAGAAATGACCCAGTCAAATACTTCATAGATAGACCAGTGCTCTCTGAGCGGCTTGTCAAATGGATGATGCAACTGAGCGAATACAGTATTGAATACACCCAGCCCAGAGCAATCAAATGTCAAGCCGTTGTTGATCTGCTGGCAGCCTTCCCATCCAGTAGTGATTTCCCCATCTCTAATGAAATACCAGGAGACCTCCCCCTGATTGCAACAGTAGAAAATGCCGAATGGACTTTAACCTTCGACAACAGTAGCACCCAAGGTTCAAAGTATCGACATGTATCGGCCCGTATCGGCTGATACGTATCATTTCGGGACCCCTTCGACACGCCCCTACAACGGGTGTATCAAGGGTCTGACCAGTTCAAGGGGTGGAGGAGGCCTAATTCACCCCTCTGAACCGGTTACAAAAAAAAGGCATCAAAAGCTGTATTGATTCGTCCGATACGCCCATACCGACGTATTAGGCGTATCGATATTTTGAGGCGTATCGGGCGAATCGATATTTTGAACCTTGGTAGCACCTACTCCTCATATGTTTCCCTACAATGATGCAACATATTGCATTGTCGGTCACCTCTATGCCATATTGTAGAGTCCTAATACTCCAAATTATTCGTGAACCTTTTCTATTTCAGAAACAAGCTAGACTCCTTATGTCTAGTCTTCTAGTCTTCCAAAACACATAAGCCATGCGAACCACACAATCCTGAATCATCTTCATCGTGAAGCCCATTGCGGCAAACGAGACACAGGTCTTTAGCTAGTGAGAAAAAAGAGACCACGATAACATTTTGACTGACCGAGACATCACTGAATTCATCAAGCTGGCCACGGTGTTTAGAGAAGCGCTCATAACCACGGTCGGGAACTTGGTAGTAGGAAGCCACCCCTTTTGGATAATGAAGGACACCATATCTGCGACGTTGCAGATAGTAATGAACTGCTCTTGCCTATGGACACCTTGAACAGTAACAGGATTGGACACCGCAAAGCCGACAGGTACCATGTCCTCTTTCACGTAATAGTCCATCTCTTGGTGCACTACCGTGAGTTCCGCAGAAATATCCAATTCATCGCAAGGAGTCTCAAACACATCACCCCCGCAAGTTGAACATCTGCCATAGGTCCTCCTGAAACATCGTCCTCTTCCACGATAACCGGGACTCATTGAAGGGTCGAACCTCCCTTCATGCCAAACCGGAGGGAGCGATAACTTGTGTAGAAGCCTCAGGGGCCGTATGCTCCTCAGAGACATCAAGGGCCCCCAAGGGCTCAACAATAGGATCGTCAGCAGACTCGATGCCTTCCTTGGCTGATCAACTTGAGATCCCAACACCTTCAATAGATGTTGTACCAGACCAATGTCACCACCAACTCCATTCTCCTTCACAACCTCAGGGCAGAGAGCGCCCAATTCCATAGCCAATTGCTGGATAAGTGGTGATACAATGACACACAAGGGGATGGACCAAAGGATACCTAAAGGAAACACAAAGTCAGAACAACATAATACGTAGAAAACACACACTGATAACACAAACATACCTCATCGCAGCTAATATGGCCGTTGGCCAACTGTGAGCCTATGAAATTGGGATGCTCTTCCTCCACCTCCACCCTATTTAAGACAAAATACTGCAAATAAACAATAACGATTAGGCACACAACAAATAATCAAGAAGCGATATACAAAACATAACGATAACAGAAGCTTACTAATTCGGAAGCCTTCAACTCCTTCCTCCGGATATGAGGAGCAATCTTTTTAACTCGACCACCCGCGATGGGAACTATAATAATAGTAGTAGTTGGCATGACACCCCTTGTTGATTGCACATACTCTACACTGACCCCCTGCACCCTTTTGTGCGAAGGGTTAGGTCTACTCCGCGTGGACTCCTTACAAGAACGCTCGGCAGAGACCCCTTCTACAACACCCTTGCCACCGGGGTCCTGCACTTCAACCTGGGGCACCCTCAATTTGGTGTTGCCACTGAGTCACCTTCGGATCCTACCACTAACAACAGATAGGAATGAACCCCTCTCACCCTCTTACGCTTCTTACTAACATGGGATGACTGCTCTCCCCCTCTTCGATTGTGGGCCGCTTACCTTTAGCATAAAAATTGGGATGATGCTTCCCCTCCAAAATAACCTGGGCCACTGACACACCCATAGGGCCATGAACATCAGAGGGAAACTCTCCAACCTGTTCAGCTGCATGACTTGGTAGGGTGGGGGGCATCACATGTCGCGGTCGGGGCTCCATCACCATAAACATCTAAACCCCACCAAACAACACACACAAGTAACCCAAACAGACAGAGCTACACACTTCCACCTGCCTAAAGCTGGCCAAAGGGAAACACATAACACCCGAAAAGGCAAGCCCGTTGTGGCATTGCCAGAAAACATCCTCCCCATCCGATCGTAAAAACCGTGAGCCCATATTGTCGTACCCAAACCGGTGAAGGAGGTGGTTAGGGCAATACATCGTCATTTGCGCCTCACTAGAATGGTCTAGATATGCCACCACACCAGGCCACAATATCAAACGAACAACACAAACTACCAGGTTGTTGGCATCCACTTCGCATTTCTGATCACTGCCCTCAGGAACACTTACCCTTATACAAAAGGGCATGTCATGGCGGACATGATGAACATAGGGACGTGACACAAAACCCTCCAAAGAAGCAAGCCCCAACTCTATTTCACCGACACCAAACCGCTTGTCCCGTTTGGCATTCATCCATCACTTCCCACGAGACACACATCCAATGTCATATCTTCAGTGCCCTTGCCCTTCAATGTCGCTATGCCAATAGACATCAGGGACGTACGACGCTTGTAACTCAGATCCATTTCAAGTGGAAGTGCTCATAGATAAATATGAATAAAAAGGGGGCAAAAACATAGGACGTATGATGCTTGTAACTCAGATCCATAATCCGATGAATCGTGTCGTCCATCTGGTCGTAAAAGTATCCCAAGAACATGAAAGCCAGGGGAAGTTGATGACCACCGACTACCAGGACTGCAAGTGGATCCAAGACGGTGCAGAGACCATAATCAGGGTTTCCTAGAAACAAGAATCGTGATGCAAACATAGAGAATGAATGCAACGAGATGGCATTGGTTGTTTGCCTTCCTGGCCATCACATTTGTCGAACCCTTGCTCTCAAACCAATAACCTATCGACGCTTTAAGGGGCCACTTCCCCCAAGCGGTCATAGCATCTACCTACGCTTTAAAAGCGTCTAGCTCCCTCCCCAACTCCGCATACAGACCCAATAGTGCGCTGGGAATAGACTCGGCATACTACAAATGGTGGGTCAAAATGGTACTAACCAATGACAATGCAAGTAAAGCAGCCACGTTTCGACAATAACGCCAAACTCACCAAACACACATAAAATGTATGTGTTCGGCAACACCAGTGAGACAAGAGTGGCCACATATAATCTACCCCTTCCTTACCTGGAAGATACATGAAATAGTCGATGAATC